AGCCACACTGGCCGGGCCCTTGTGATTTTCTTATCAGCACTTTCTTTTCTCTAGCTTACTTTATTGTAAGAATACAGTATGCACTACATGCACCCTACGGGATATGTGTTAATTCACTGTTCTGTTATTGATAAGGCTTCTGGCCAATTAGTTCAGTTTTTTGGGGTTTTCCAACTAGGTGGGAGGTTGGCATCTCTAACCTCTGCATGCTCAAGGGTCAGCTGCATTTGCCATAGCAGGGTTCCTGTTTTCCTCTGTGGCTGTGAGTTATACTCGAACGGCCTCTCACTCCAACCCGGAGGGCTCCTGTTGGCATTCTCGCCGTGCAGGTCCTGTGGTAATGTCTCCTCCAGCTTTAGCTTATCTGGGAGTGTCTCTGTTGGTCCCTCGTTCTTGAAGAACTGTTTTTTGTTTTTTGTTTTTTTTTTATAGGAAGGATCTTTAAAAAAATTATTTTATGAACAAAGAAATAGCATTCTGTCATAAGGTGGACGTCCTGAGCGACCTATCCATGGAAGGTCGCTGAGTCCCACTGATGCAGCCCCATCCCCCGTCCTGACGGGAACATGGTGGCACACACTGAGGCCGTACTTCCGGGTCAGACCCCGGCGTGCTGAGCAGATGCGGCAAGAACCCGAACCCCGGCCGAGTGTCCTCAGTGCTCCAGGAGAGTTCTGGGACCCATCTTGCTCTCTGTGGCAACGAGGCAAAAGGGAGGAAGAGGATGCTTGGTGGACAGTCCTCTTTCCTTCAGCACTTGGAGTACACACACCTGCTGCCTTCCGGGGCCCAGCATTCCCGATGAGCAAGACGTTTATAACAACATGGGGGATCTTTGTAGTCACAAGTCTCTCCTATCTTGTTGCCTGCAAAATCCCCCTTTGTCTTTGTCTTTCAACAGCTGGATTATAATGCGCCTTGGTGTGGGTCTCTGGAGTTATTTTATTTTATTAATTTTTATTTTTTGAGAGAAAGAGGGAGAGATTGAGGGAGGGAGGAAGGGAAGGAGAGAGAGAGAGAGAGAGAGAGAGAGAGAGAGAGAGAGAGAGAGAGAGAGAGAGAGAGAGGAGAAAGAGATCCCATATGCACCCTGACTGAGGATCGAAAACCAAAACCTGGGTATATGCTAGGACCAGGAATATAACTCAACAGCTTTGGTGTCTGCAATGATGCTCCAACCGACTGAACCACACTGGACAGGGGCTCTTGGAGTTTGTTATGCTTCTTGGGTGTTTATATCTTCCATCAAATTTGGGAAATTTTGGCCATTATTTCTGCACATAATCCTTCTGCCTCTCTTTTCTCTCCATCCTCCTTCTGGGACTCCTATGATGTGTGTGGGTCCATGGGCGGAGTCCCGCAGGTCCCTCTGTGAGGGTCCCGGTGAGCCCTGAGAGTGGCAGTGGGATCGAGCCCCTGTGATGCATCTGGTCAGCCTCATGGGCTGTCTCCCTTCCAGGACTCGTACCTGCTCGACTATTTCCTCTTTCTGAACCGCTACTTTGAGGTGGGGGCCCCAGTCTACTTTGTCACCACCGGGGGCTACAACTTCTCCAGTAAGGCGGGCATGGACAACATCTGCTCCAGCGCCGGCTGCGAGAGCTTCTCCCTGACCCAGAAGATCCAGTATGCCACCGAGTTTCCCGAGCAGTGAGTGTCCCCCCTGCCCTTGTCCGTGTCTCCCCCCACCCCCGTGCCCCTGTGTCTCCTCTTTCCCTCCTCTCCCCTGTGCCCCTGTGTCCCCACTCCCTCTGCTTCCCTTCCCACCTTCCTGGTCCCACCCAGCTGCCCACCTGCTGCTGTGCCTGCGGAGGCCAGTGTGGGGGTGGGGCCATGGGAAGGACCCACCACTCGCCTTAGGGTCCTGACCCTGAGCTCCGCCCCGACACCCAGGTCTTACCTGGCCATCCCCGCCTCCTCCTGGGTGGATGACTTCATTGACTGGCTGACACCGTCCTCCTGCTGCCGCCTGTACGCCTTTGGCCCCAACAAGGACCAGTTCTGCCCCTCGACTGTCAGTGAGTGAGAGGCCTCCGGGGGCTCATGGCCCCACAACTCAGGGAAACTGAGGCGAGAGGAAGGAGGGAAGGGGGAGGCTCCCTTAGCCCCTCACACCCTCCTAAAGGCTCAGTTGGGATGGGACACAGGCCCAGAACACGTGTGGGTGCCCGAGCCCAAGGGGGTGGACACGGGCCCTCGCACACGCTCCTGAGTCGTGCCCACGCTCTGGGGCACGCCGGCTCTCACACGGCGGGAGTGGGGAGCGCGCCCGGGTGGCCCGGGCCGGGGCCCCGGCACAACTGCGTTTGTAGGTGGGGTGGAGGGCCCCGCAGGCCGTGGCTGTTTCTCTGCCCCAAACCTCCCTCCCTCATCCGTTCATAGCTTCCATGGTGGAGAGCGCGCCCACCCCCACCGTTACAGAAAGACAGAGTGCTCCTGGGCACAGGGGCGCCAGGGCGTGAGGGCACAGAGCGGCGGGAGGGTGCTCCCACCCACGCACTCTCTCTGCAGACTCGGTGGCCTGCTTAAAGAACTGCGTGGGGCTCACTCTTGGGCCTGTGCGGCCGTCGAGGGAGCAGTTCCACAAGTACCTTCCCTGGTTCCTCAGCGACCCCCCCAACATCAAGTGTCCCAAAGGGTAGGCTGTGCGGGGTGCCCACAGGGTGTGGAGTGGGGGTGCAGGGAGGTGGGGGGCTGGTGGAAGGTGTCTTGGGGAGCCTTGACCCCAACCAAACCTTCACTCTGCCCACCCCAGGGGCTTGGCAGCGTACAGCACCTCCGTGAAGTTGGACCAAGACGGCCAGGTTGTGGGTAAGTGCGGCCTCGGGTGGTGGGGAGGGAGTCAGCTGCTCCGGGGCCGTGAGGCTCAGGGACCCCCTCCATCCGAATCCCTCTCCTCCTCCTCCTCCAATGGGGCTTCCAGCCTCCCCTGGAGGTCCTCACTCAGATCCTCCACCTCACACTTCCCCTCCTGCCTCCCCACCCCAACCCTCAGACAGCGCTGGGTCCACGGGAGGCCAGTGGCTGCATGCGTCAGAGGCAGGTCCACTCCCAACCGCAGGCCCTTTGCCCAATATGGAGGCAGCAGAGCCCTGAGCCAGACCCCCCTGTCCCTGCTGCCCATCCCCCTGGGCCCTGAGGGCTCCGGGAGCTGGCTCTGAGCTCTGCCTCTTGCCCCCGGGCCGGCACCAGCCTCGCGCTTCATGGCCTACCACAAGCCCCTGAAGAACTCGCAGGACTTCACGGAGGCTCTGCGGGCGACTCGGGCGCTAGCCGCCAACATCACCGCCGGCCTGCGGAAGGTGCCAGGCACCGACCCGGCCTTCGAGGTCTTCCCCTACACGTGAGGCTGGGCCAGCCGGGCGGGACCTGGGGAAGGCACCCTGCCCAGAGCGCTTCCTCCCGGGGCGGGGCGGGGCGTGACCGCACCTGCTCCCCAGGATCACCAACGTGTTCTACGAGCAGTACCTGACGGTGGTGCCCGAGGGGCTCTTCATGCTCAGCCTCTGCCTGCTGCCCACCTTTGCCGTCTGCTGCCTGCTGCTGGGCATGGACCTCCGCTCCGGCCTCATCAACCTCTTCTCCATCATCATGATCCTGGTGGACACCGTGGGCTTCATGGCCCTATGGGGCATCAGCTACAACGCCGTGTCCCTCATCAACCTGGTCACGGTAACCGCAGGCTCGGGTTCCCCCGGGGCATGCCTCCGGCCTGGCGGAGACCCGCCCCGGCCCTCTGCAGCTGACACCCCTCTCTGCCCACAGGCGGTGGGCATCTCTGTGGAGTTCGTGTCCCACATCACCCGCTCCTTCGCAGTCAGCACCAAGCCTACCCGGCTGGAGCGGGCCAAGGAGGCCACCATCTCCATGGGCAGCGCGGTGAGTGGGCGGGCGGCCGTGGGGACAGTCGCGGGCTGCCGCCGCTGCTACGTACCCAGCCTGACACGCGTGTGCGACCCTAGGTGTTTGCCGGCGTGGCCATGACCAACCTGCCAGGCATCCTCATCCTGGGCCTGGCGAAGGCCCAGCTCATCCAGATCTTCTTCTTCCGTCTCAACCTGCTCATCACCCTGCTGGGCCTGCTGCACGGCCTGGTCTTCCTGCCGGTCATTCTGAGCTACCTGGGTGCGTGGTCCCCTCCCGCAGGCCCACCCCACCCAAGGAGGAGCCTCTGGCAGTGGGGAGCACCTGCGGGAAGGCGCGTGACCATGCCTCTGTCTGTCCCTCTGCAGGGCCTGACATCAACATGGCTCTGGTGTTGGAGCAGAAGCGGGCGGAGGAGGCAGCCGTGGCCAGGAAGGCCTCCTGTTCTAAGCACTCCATCCCGGTGAGCCAGGCCAACGGCACCTACGTCAACCACAGCTTCCAGCATCCTGCTGAGAGCGGGGACAGCCTCAGCAGCTCTCCCACCTCAGTGAGCAGAGAGATGAGCAGGCTCTAGGGCCCGAGAGGGTTCCCATGGGGACCATGACCTGTCTCCCCAGGCCCTGGCGGAGTGCTGTGCCTGTGGGGTGCTCACACTGGGACTCCCTCTGACCGCCAGGTGCCCAGGCACACTCCACCCGGGCAGCAGGTTTCTGGTTCCAAGCCATTGAAGCCTTGGTCAGCCTCCTTCTTCCCGAGACCTGGATCTTGGGGTTCAGACACAGAAATGCTGGCTTGGTTCCAGACTCAGACTCATCCACAGCTGCCCCTTTCCACTCACCAGTCCTTCAGTGAACAAAGCCCCGCTTGGAGTCGGAGAGTCTTCAGCTCTGCTCAGTATCCCCGAGAACCAAGCCCCACCCTGCAGGCAGACAGGGAGGGGAGGGGAGGTCGCTGCCCCTCATCGGGGAGAGAGTCCTGGAGAAGACTCTGATCATGGGTGGGCCCCACTGGAAATGCCGTCAGTTTGGCCTCCAGCTGCACTGATTACTAAGGTGGCCACTGCCAGTCAAAGCTGCTATGTGTCTTCAAGGCTGTGAGCTCCTGGGACAGGCCTGGAGTGCTGGCGCACTAAGATGACCAAATCTCAGCCTCCCTGGAGAAGCATAAGCCCAGGAATGCACCTGCTTAGTGCCATGCACAGGAGGAAGAATGTGTCACTGAGCATAAATGGAGTTTTATGTCTCATGTCCTATTCTGGTTGCCTCTGGCTTGAGGATACTTTTTGTAGCCCAGTCGGGTCAACACACGAACCAGGAGGTGGTGGTTTCCAGCTCCATCCCCAGGAGGGGGTGTGCGGGAGGCAGCTGATCGATGATTCTTCTTCATCACTGTTGTCTCTGTTCCTCACTCCCTCTCCTGTTCTCTCTAAAATCAATAAAAATATGTCAAAAGGGCCGAGACCAGTTTGGCTCTGTGGATAGAGCATCAGCCTGTGGACTGAAAGGTCCCAGGTTCGATTCTGGTCAAGGGCATGTACCTTGGTTGCGGGCACATCCCCAGTGGGGGGTGTGCAAGAGGCAGCTGATCGATGTTTTTCTCCCATCGATGTTTCTAACTCTCTATCCCTCTCCCTCTCTCTGTAAAAAATCAATAAAATGTTTTTAAAAATATGTTAAAAGGAAGATAACTTTTGTAATGGACCTGGCACATGTGTGGGAGGGTGACTTAGGGAGGTTTCAGTTTGTGTTTTCCCTTCCCCTTTCCAGAAGGTGGCCATGTCACTGTGTGCCCTTCAGGAGTGGCAAGCAGCTTCTCCCAAATCAGGAGCCATGGAGGCCCCGGCCTTGTGGTGTTGGCCAGTGCAGGGACTCACAGCGGCTCGCTTCCTGCGACAGCCTGTCAGGGAGGCAGTACTCAGGGAGCCTGCTGGGGAAGCCAGTGCATTGGGGGAGGGAGGCACCCCCTGCTGGTGGCAACCAGAATGTCTATTATTATTATTATTATTTTATTATTTATCTTTTATATATTTTTCTTTACTATTATTATTATTATTATTATTTACTACTCCTCACCCGAGGGTATGTATCCATTGATATGAGAGAGAGAGAGAGAGAGAGAGAGAGAGAGAGAGAGAGAGAGAGAGAGAGAGAAAGAGAGAGAGAAAGAAGCGTCAGTCAGTTGCCTCTCAGATGAGCCTTGGTCAGGGATCAAACCTGAAACCTGGGTATGTTCCTTGACCGGGAATCAAACCCTGACCTCCTGGTTCATAGGTTGATACTCAACCGCTGAGCCACATTGGCAAGGCCAGACTTTGATTTTGATGACCTGACAATGTGGAGGACTGGTCAGGTGTGTTGTAGATTCCCTTTAAATGGGGTTTGCCTGGTGTTTCTCTCCCGATGAGACCGGGGTGATGGGTTTGGGGGAGGGAAACTGTGAAAGTGGGGTGACAGTCTCAGCACACCATATCAGGGCAGGTGCTGCTGCCATGGCTGATCACTGTGGTGATGGTGGTCACCTGGCTGAGGTGGTCTGTCAGGCATTTCCTCCTTATAGGGGCTCTTTCTCCCCTTTCCGGGCTGTGTTCCTTGGGGGGCAGTCCCTGTGCACTATCCACACTTAGGGATGGGAGGCACATCCCAGCTCCTGCATCCTGAAGGCACTGTGTGTACACGTATCAGTATGGACCACACACATTCAGGTTGCTCTTCGGTTACAGAATAATGCTGCCTTACTTGTTTTGTTAATTGGCTGGTCATATGGTTCCTGCTGTGGCCATTGGAAGCCCACAGGTGTCCCTCACGGACACCACACAGAAAAGGTCCAAGGCCCTGAGCTTCACCCAGCCCACCTCTTCCCACACCTGCCCTGGCAACCGCGGCGCCGGATGACTGGTCCCACAGCCTGCCTCTTCCGGAAGGCGGTGCTGCGCCGCAGCTTTCCCACCGGCTCCGCTTAGCAATAGGCATCGAAGGGCAAAGCGAGCTTCACCCCGCTGACTGACGGCATTTCAATAGAGGACAGACCGCAGTTTGTTTACCCCACAGCTCTGGGGCGGGGAGACCACGTGATGACGCCGGATCACGTGATAACACCGGGCGCGTGACGCCGCCGCGCACTCTCTTCCGCCCGTTTCCAAGGTGGCCACTAGGCGCCCTCAGCCGCGGAGCCCCCGCCCTCGGGCGTCTAGGAGCCACTTGGGGGCCCACGTCCTCTCCTCAGGAGGCCGCTCGGGTGGGCCGGCGGCGCAGCGCGGCGGGGCGGGTCCTGCGGCGAGGCCGAGCGAGCGGGGACCGAAGTTTCGCGGGCCCGCGGGCGGCGGAGCCGTTACCGCGACGCACCGGAAGTAGCCGAGGCCGGCGTCCGGCCCGCCGTGAGCGAGTTCCCTCCAGTCGGCGACGCCATGGAGCCCGGGGCGGCCGAGCTGTACGACCAGGCCCTGCTGGGCATCCTGCAGCATGTGGGCAACGTCCAGGATTTCCTGCGCGTGCTCTTCGGCTTCCTCTACCGCAAGACGGACTTCTACCGCCTGCTGCGCCACCCGACCGACCGGATGGGCTTCCCGCCCGGGGCCGCGCAGGCGCTGGTGCTGCAGGTGACCGGGGCGGCCGGGCGACCCGGGGGGAGGGGGGCCGGGCGCGGGAGCACTCTCCCCGGAGCCCCTTCCCCGGAGCCCCAGACCCTCCCTGCGCGCCCGGCCTCAGTTTCTCCCTCCGGCGCTGGGCTGGGTTCACCTCCCGGCCCGGGGCTGCGAGTAAGCAGAGCCGCTGGTCCGTATTGAGTTGCTCTTCGCGGGAGCGGGCCCGGCGCTCGGCGGCCCGGGTGACACCGGGCGCGCTTGGGTGTCAGAGGAGCTCAGCGCCCGCCGCGCTGGGCCCGCGAGGGCGCCGGGGCTGCCGGTCGGGGCTGGGAGCGCGGACCTGCGCGCCCAGGGCCGCGGGCTGGAGGCAGCGGGGGGACTGGTGAGCTGTGGCTTCTGTGGGTGTGGTCCCTTGTTTGAAATGCGGCTTCCCAGGTCTGAAGCAGCGCGCTTGAACATCTGCCTGTGTGTCCCAGGCTACATGCATTGTGTGTTTGAGGTCTGTTAACACTCACCGGCCGAAGTTGGCTGTGCTCCTTGGAATGTAACAAGTAGTAGCACTCAGCTGCCAGCGGCGTTGGCGAGGCACTGCGGGGTGGGTATTTAATAAGGGTGTTTGTGTCGGCTTCCTTGTGACGCTTGTGACATTTGAGCAGGTGAAACACATCAGAGCAGAGACCTGTGCGAGGCCAGTATGTGACAGCCCGCTGGGAGGAGGGGGTAGGCTTGGACATCAGAGGTTTCACAGGGAGGTGGGACTGAAGCAGATGCTCAGCCAAGCCCGGAGCCTGCTTGTAGGAACCCAAGAAGCCAGAAACGCTGGTGGGGCCTCCCAGTCCTCTGGCTCGCGCACCTATCCCCTCCTTGATAGCTGTGCCTGCGGAGGAGTGAGCTACTGCCCGAGATGACGGTGTCTGGCGAGGGCTCATCCAGAGCTTGAGGCTGTGCCTCGCCCTCTCAGCGTCTGAGTGCCGCTGGGTGAGGGCGTCTGGCAGTTTGAACTCCATGGATGTTCCTGGGAAATGGACATGGTTGGTTTTGTTTGTTTTTTTTAATATATTTTATAGATTTTTTACAGAGAGGAAGAGAGAGGGATAGAGAGCCAGCAACATTGATGAGAGAGAATCATAGATCAGCTGCCTCTTGCACACCCCCTACTGGGGATGTCCCCGCAACCAAGGTACATGCCCTTGACCGGAATCGAACCCGGGACCCTTCAGTCCACTGAGCCACACCGGTTTCGGCAGACATGATTGAGTTTTATGTGGCAGGTGAGGGTGCCAGTTCAGCAAGATTATAGGATTCCACACACTCATTCTTTTTGTGATTCCAGCTCTTTCCTTTTCACCCATCCCACAGCAGGGTGGGCACCCTGTTATCCAGGGTGGAGGTAGCGTGCAGGGAGGACAGAGGAGCAGCCGCTGAGCGCTGGTATGTGCTGATTATTATGGGAGGAGCCTCACACTGCAGGCGCCACCTGACTTACTTCTAACGCAGCCTGAAAGGCCGGCCTTTGCCTTTGTTCTGCTGGTGGACAGACAGGTAGCTCACATGTCTGGTGTCAGTGTATAAAGAACCTACTGTGCTCCATGCACCCTTTCAGGGCAGAGGGGAGGGGACAGGTGAATCAGATGACCTGAGGTTTCAGACATGGGCGCCTGGTGTAATGACAGCACATTAACTGTACTGCCGTTTGAACTTGGGCGAAAGGGCCAGTGTGAGACCAGTCGGATGTGAGATGCAGACAGGAGCCCCTACCTGTATGCAAGCTAATGGGGTTGAGGGATTGGATCTTGCAGGAGACAGGAGCGGGGCAGTTTGAAGGAGAGAAGAGTTGAAGGTGGAGGGCAGCCCTTGGGGCATGAGCAGGGGAGGGAGGGGAGAAGCAGAGCCTAGAGCGGGAGGAGTGGGGTGGACGGGGGAGTCTCACCAGCACCAAGGGCAGTTCCCAGCGGTGGCTGGAGGGCCGGTGTTTTCTGGAAGTGCTTCCTCCTGTCAGCACTGCCAGGAGCCTTCACCGCCAGCACTCCCTTCCCTCTCCCCCCCACTGTTGTCTGGGCAGATCGAAGATTCCTTTACCCACAGAGGCGTTGGTCGAGGTCAACATGGGGGCACCGTGTGGAGAGGCTGGGTCAGCGCAGATTCTGGGATAGGACAGGCGGGGGGTGCTGCTGGCATAGGAACACAATCACCGGCATCGTGATGCCTCCACTGGGATGTGGGGACGGGTTCACCCAGAGCCGTGGCGGTCACTGCGCTGTACGGGCCAAGTGTCATGCGCTTTATAACCAGTGAAAGGTGCTGCAGTGTCACTTCCTGTGGGTCAGGTGGCTCTTGACCTCCCGTCTGCGGTGATGCAGAAGGCCCTCCTGTGGATGCTGCCCTGCTCCTGGGGTGCTGGGGTGCAGGGGGTCTTCCCCCCGAATTCTGAGGACCTGCAAGCCGGGTGCACGGCCCGCAGGCCCCGCCCTGGGAGAGGCAGGCCCTCTCCGCCCGCCCAGCTCCTGGTCTCCAGCCGTGGTCCACGCGAGTGTCTAGACGCAGGCAGCGGACCTCCCCATGCCACGCGCTTCTATAAAAAAAACGGTTTTCCCTAAGTGGCAGCCCTGACCAACTTTTTTTTTTATTCTTTTTTTTTAAAATATATTTTATTGAGTTTTTACAGAGAGGAAGAGAGAGGGATAGAGAGTTAGAAACATCGATGAGAGAGAATCATCCATCAGCTGCCTCCTGCACACCCCCTACTGGGGATGTGCCCGCAACCAAGGTACATGCCCTTGACCGGAATCAAACCCAGGACCTTTCAGTCCGCAGGCTGACACTCTATCCACTGAGCCAAACCGGTCTCGGCAGCCCTGACCAACTTTAACATCACTTTTCGTGAGAATTTTCAGCTGAAAAAATTCAAGAACACATGAACTTAAGAGAGTTTTTAGGTTCACGGTATAGTTGAGCAGACGTCCTACAGAACCCCCTGTGCCCACGTGCCCAGCCTCCCATTGCCATCGCCCTGGAGCTGCAGCATCTGTCATCGCCGATAAACCTGCACACACGGCACCAACACCATCACCCATAGCCCGCAGTGCGCATCAGGCTCACTCGGGGCGGGACAGATGCCATGACAGGTGCCCCCCCCCCCCACGGCCGTCACTCAGAGTTGTAAACTGCCCTGAAAATCCCTGTGCCCCCTGCTCCTCCTCCTCCCTAGCCGCTGGCCGCCATGGGACTGTCCTGTCAGGCTTTGCCGTGTCCAGAGGTGACAGGTGAAATCGTACTGGACGTATGTAGCCTTTCAGACTGTCCTCTCACTGACTTCCTGGCGCGATGGTTTCCTTGTGCTGAGTGGTCATCGTCCACATGTGCCCGCCACCTACTGAAGGTGGTTCGAGTTTCCACACGCATGAACAAAGTTGCCGTGTGCACATTTCTGTGTGGGCATGAGGGTTCAGCTCCTCTGGGTAAATACTGGGAACATGGCTGCTGGGGTGGGGTGGCTGCCCCCACTTTCCAGGGTGGGTGTCCCTCCTTCCTGCCCCAGGGGGGAGGAGCTGAGTGGGGGCCCCGCCCTCGGACAGGTGGTGCCAGTGGAAGGGGTGCCTTTGGTTGAAGGTCTGATTCAGGCCCCTCCTCCCCGGAAAAGTCTTCCAGGTTCTCTCAGCAGAAGGGGGTTCGCCTCAGCCTGACGCCCACGTGTGCAGCCAGCCTGTCCTGCCCACGGTCGGTGTGGTCTGTGCTGGCTGCAGAGGAGACGGCTGGCTCGCCACGTGTCGAGTTCCAGGAGCTGTCAGTAGGGGTGCTTGCCGAGTGAATTTCCACGCTTTTCCGAGCCTGTGCAGGGAGCCCCGCTGTTCTGGGGAGCGAAGGCCAGCTGGCCCCCTTCGCCCTGCAGTGGGGTTGGTGCCCATACCTGGCGTGGCCCCTAAGCAGCATGTTGTCTGCGTTGCCGGCAGTGGGTGTGAGTGACGGCAGGCGGGCCCAGAGCTGGGCTGGGCTCCTGTGGGTCTTGCTCGTCGGCTGCACGTCTGCGGACAGGGAGGTGCTCACAGCTGCTCGGTGGAGTCCAGTGCGGTGTGTCCCCCGTGGGAACTGCCTCTCTCACCCTGGACATTGCCATGGCACCGCCGCTCATTGCTGGGTTGCGTCTGCTCCCAGGTGTTCCAGACCTTCGACCGCATGGCTCGCCAGGACGATGAAAAGAGGAGGAAGGAGCTGGAGGAGAAGCTGAGGAGGAAGGAGGCGGAGGCTGCGGAGGCGGAAGCTGCGGCCTCGGGGGAGCAGGCGCCCGTGCCTGCCCTGGAGCTGGAGGTGGAGGTCAACACCGCGGACGCGGACGCGGGCGCGGGCGCGGGCGCGGGCGCGGGCGCGGGCGCAGGCACGGCCCGAGCCTCAGGCGGGCCTGCGGAGTCGCAAGGCCAGCTGCATGACGTGCAGGCGGTGGCCCCCAGCTCCCGGGAGGCTGCGGAGCCGCCGGCCTCAGAAGCGGGTGCTGCTCAGACCCCAAGGGAGCCCCCACCTCTTCCCAGGTAAGACCTCTTTCTCGCTGGACACGGGGCGGGGGTGGGGCGGGGTGTGTGTGTGTGTGGGGGGAGTGGTTCTTATGGGCAACAGTGCCCTGCCAGCACTTACTCAGCTCCTCGTGTTTGCAGGCCGAGGGACAGTATTTGCTTCCACAGGGGGCAGTGGCTGCTGCCTTCCTCCTTGGTCCCTGGTAGGTCAGGCTGTGTGCGTGTCACTCAGCGTGAACGCCAGGGTCTGTGGGCTCCAGCAGTCCCTCCTGGTGGCAGCAGTCCTTCCTGCGGGATATGGCGGTGTGTGCACCAGAGTGCCCTGGCGTGTCAGTGGGTGGAGGCGGTGCCCTTGCTGCTCCTTGGGGTTGAGTCCGGTTCTTGCCTGGCCACACATGTCTGCCCTGCTGGGCTGCCTCCTGTGCTCCTGTGCGTGTCTGGAAACCCGCCCCTGCCCTTTGCCAACTGGGGAGCCCCGTCCTCTCTGCCTCAACCACGTGTCCCTCCGCTCTCCTGCTCCCGCACCCCCTCGGCTATCTGAGTGCAGCTCCTAGCGGGGCAGCACGCGGAGGCTGGGGCGGTGACCCTGACGGGGAGCACCCCGGGGAGGCTCAGCCAGCAGGTGGTGATGGGCGAGGTGGGGGCGCAGGAGGGGGCTGGTGCACCTGGGACTCCGTAGAGAAAGGGCTGGGCCTGGAGGGGCCCTCGGCTGAGGATGCTCGTCTCCGGGGCGACTCCCGTGCAGGGGCTGGGAGGGGCCTCCCCCTGCGGGGTCCCACAGCCGCCTGGTGGGGTCCTCATGGCTGGGGATATTCTCGTCACATGTTAAATGGAGCCTTTTTAAAAAGCAAATGTCGGGGGGGTGCAAGATGGCGCTGCCCTTTGCACGTCGCCTTGCTTCTGCCGCTGGGGAGCCAAACAATTGGGGGCTGCCGCTGCCGAAGCCCACAGAGGCGTCAGTTTCAAACTCGAAGAGAAAACCACCCACCGCAGCCTGGCGCTCTTCAGAGGTGACACAGGTGTCAAATATGGCTTGGTGGGATTGGAGCCCACCCAGTTGGCCCTGAATGTGGAGCGTTTCCGGGAGTGGGCCATGGTGCTGGCAGACACGGCGGTCACCAGTGGCAGGCACTACTGGGAGGTGACTGTGAAGCTTTCGCAGCAGTTCCGGGTAGGCGTGGCGGATGTGGACATTTCTCGGGATAGTTGCATCGGTGTCGATGGCTGTTCCTGGGCGTTCACCTATGCCCAGTGTAAGTGGCACTCCATGTTGGCCAACAAGAAGGCCCCTATTGAGGGCATCGGGGATCCAGAGAAGGTGGGGCTGCTGCTGGAGTATGAGGCCCAGAAGCTGAGCTTGGTGGATGTGAGCCGGATTGCTATGATCCACATGCTACAGACAGATTTCCAGGGTCCAGTGGTACCTGCCTTTGCCCTTTGGGATGGAGAATTGCTGACTCATTCAGGGCTTGAGGTGCCTAAGGGCCTCTAGTGTGTCCATCACTGGAATTCCCAATCACACCCTTGCCAGTGTCCTTCTCCCAGTGTCTGGAACCTTTTAACTTTGCCTCAAGTAATCTCTGGTTCCCACAGTTCAGGTCCTCAGTGCAATGTCTTAGTCATTTCCCTCCCACCTACCTGTGAAAGCAAGGCTACTGCCAATTTTCCTAGGCTACCATGAATGTATTTTCCTTGACTTGCTTCATTGGGCCCCTCCATCTTCCTGGGCCCAGGCCTTTCTCTCAGACTGTATTCAGTCCTGGGGTCTTTCCTTTCTGCTTTGTTTGGATTTACTCATCACTGTTATACCTTTCTTTCTTTTTCTTTTTAAAGAAATATATTTTATTGATTTTCCACAGAGAGGAAGGGAGAGGGATAGAGAGCTAGAAATGTCGATGAGAGAGAGACATCGACCAGCTGCCTCCTGCACACCCCCTACCGGGGATATGCCTGCAACCAATGTACATGCCCTTGATCGGAATCGAACCTGGGACCTTTCAGTCTGCAGACCGATGCTCTATTCACTGAGCCAAACCGGCTTCGGCTCACTATGATACCTTTCTCTCCCTCTTCCCATGTGTAACTTGTGTTTGTTCTTGGTGTTCTACTGAGTCTCTCCACAGTAAAGCCTTTCTACCTCTGGCTGGAGGAGTGGTTCAGTGACTTGGCCCTTTCTCTAAAGCTCAGAGAGTCTGAGCTCTGGCTCCCTCGGGAAATGCTTTACTGTCTGCCAGTGAGAAGAGAGCCCCCCTTCCTCAGTACCTCAAAGCTGGCCTCTCAGCCCCACACACCTGCAGCTATCATCACCAGAAGTCCATCTGCCTTAACCTGCATACCTCTGACACCTGCTCAATCCCTTGTACCCATGGGCCAGTTACAACCACTACCAAAGGGAAAGAGACACTCGGGGGATGTTAAGGGCATTCATGCTGGAAACTTTATTCTTGAGAAATTCAGTCTTCATTTCTGCTCCAGTTGGAACTTCCAGAGGAGGAGAGACCTGAGGTCTTGCACAATACATTTTTGGGCCTGCTCAGATCCAAACCCTCATCCTCCCACCGCAACCTTGGCAGCAGAATACACTTAACCTAAAGCAGTATTAGGGGCTGAAGAAAACCTGGTGGGATGAGCATGTATGTGAAATATGTATTTCTCTGTTTGACCCTGTGGCTCCATCTTACTCTTTCTTTATGATGGTGATGCAACTGAATACCTCCTGGGGAAAAAGAGGACTGGGTTTAGCAAAAATAATCATTTGTGTAATTAAAGTTTATTTAAACACACACACACACACACACACACACACACACACACAAAATAAATAAAAAACAAATGTGCCCAGTCCTGGCGCTGGTCTCAGCGGGCCAGCGGCGTCCTGGCACGGAAAGGTTCCCAGTGGTTCCCGCCAGGACTCAGTGTCTGTCTCCTCCGTGCTCGCTGGGTCTCTGAGGGGGGTCGGTCTCCGTGCTCGCTGGGTCTCTGAGGGGGGGAGTGCCCCCTGAAGGCGGTTCCCTTCCTCATCACCGCAGTCTGAGCTCCGGGTGCGGGTGGAGGGGGGATCCCCTCTGTTCATGCTGCGGGGATTTCTGAGCCCTGAACCCAGGCTTTCTCGTCTCTTCTCCGAGGTCCTGTCCTCAGACTTCCTTCCCCTGCTGTGGGTCCGGCCTCAGCTCGCCCACACGCGTCCACAGCAGGAGGCACGCTCTCTGCCATCCCCTCGGACCCTTTTAGGGCTTGACTTCCCTCGTGGCTTTGCTCTAAATTGTTAAATGTGTCTGCAGCCGCTGTGGAAAGTCTCGTCGTCTCTGTCATTGGCTGTTTCTGTGGACGGAATGGGCTCCTGATTTGGGCCGTCTTCCTGTTGTTCACACACCTGGTAGTTTTGTGTTGGATGCTGGGCGTGTGAACGCTGGGTTGCTCTGGGTCCCTTCAAGGCCTGTGAAGGGTTGCTCCTGCAGGCAGGGCACGGCCCTGGGAGCTCGCTGGCATCGGGAGTCCTCGCTGTCCTGGGCTGGTCCTCCCTCTGCTGAGCCGTGGCCGCGGGGGCTCTCCCCAGCCTCCAGGTGGGCAGCCGTCCTGCCCTCCGGCTGGTGGACCGTGGCCGTGTCCTGCCCTCGGTGGCCCCGGGATCTTTGCTGGCTCCCCAGGGCTCCCCTGTTCCAGGAGCCTGTCCCTGAATTGGTTAGACAGGACAGGGAAGATGGAACATGCAGTTCCTTCTGTACCGTCTCGTCTATTCCAGCATCACTGCATCAGCCAGACAGGAGAGTGCTGGACGCTGAGCACACTGCACAGCATCTCCTCGGAATGCTGGCTGGGGCGGGGATGGCCGTTACGTCCTCAGCGAGCACCCTTGGGGGCCCAGGGCGGTGGTGTGGCCTCGGTGAGGGAGACTGTCTGGGTGGTCAGCCCTGGACAGCTGGGGAGGGTCGCCTGGGACAGCAGCTCAGCCTGTCCTGGCCTCCATGGTGGCCTCTTGGGGTTTGGATTGGCCTTGCCGCCGCACAGGCACAAAGCCCATTTCTTATGGTAAATCTCTTAATGTATCTCTTCTGGTTCTGGTCCTTTGTTGAACCCTGACTTACCCATATTCTCATGGTAGAATGTCATGAGAAAAGCAGGCTTCAAACTAATAACAAGTTTGGGAAACATTTATTATTGAACGGAGAGAAGGCCTGGAAGAAAACATGAATAGCGGTGGAACTGAGTGTTTTCATTGTCATCTTTGTCCCTTATGTTTTCTAATTTTTTTGCAATGAGCATACATTTTATTTTACTGTTTTTGGTACTATTTTTGTAACTTCTAAAAACTATTAAAAGGGGGTTTGGCTTTGATTCTGAGTACATGAGAGCGCTCCTGACTGTGGTGGTTTTGTAGGCCGCTGTCTGTTCCCGGCCAGCGGCTATCCTGGCAGCCTGCACTGTTTGAGGCCCAGCTGGCCGGGTGGGAAACCTCAGCCGGGCACGGCCAGCACTCTGGCAGGGCCTCAGCCCTCAGGAGCCCTCTGGTTTCCATGGACAAAGCAGGAAGTGGCAGCCATGTCTCGGAGTCCCACCCGAGTGCCGCCTGAGCAGCAGCTGCGGCGGGTCCGAGAGTGGGCGTGGAGGCAGCCTGCCCTGCTCTCCCAGGTGGCCCCAGGCGCCCGTCAGTGCCCTGGGTCTGCACCCTGTGAGCTGTGGGTCGGGCTCTGTCACTGGGAGACTAAGGCATTTACTCTTCTGATGACCACACACAAGCTCTGTCCACCCTGTCCAGAAGCCAGTACCCCGGGACCAGGGCTGAGACGCTGGCTTCCACGGGTTCCTGTTGGCCGCCCACTGCTGGAGCCTCTCCAGTGCTAGCCATGGGCAGCGGCCACTCCTCTCGTCCTCCTGTCTGTCACGTGCTTGTTGAATTTAAACAATTCAGCAGAGGCCCTGTGGGGAAATGCAGTAAGATGATAAAGCGTGTGCATCTGTATTTTAAACACGTTCTTTTTTAAAAAAAATTATTTTATTGATTTTTTACAGACAGGAGG